AAGGGGTTCAACTACCGCAGCATGTAACAATTGAATCATTGTTGTCCTAATGCGGTAAAAGAGAGCAGGAGCAAGAGAGTGGGATTGTATCGGAATGAACAAGGGGGTTTTGCTTGCCTGGCACTTCTGAAGATGATATAGCTCTTCATCGGTGTCATCGAACTCATCGCCGGAACATGTCTACTGAAGGGGGACAATTACCGGCAATAGAAAGGAAAACACAATCAATGCAATGCACAATATGATGCATGATCATGACATGTCAATATGCTGTGATTTGAGCTAATGCAACTAGCAACAAGTTAAATGAAGTTGGTTTGAATCCAAGATTCAAATTCAAACTCCACATGTGGTTATTTAAACGCCATTCATTTCATTTGTCCTAAACAGTAGTCATAAGTTGTTCTAACATGCATGAAACCAGTATAGATGGATAGATTGGTTTTTTCTAATCATTTTTCATATATAATTTATTTCATTTGGAGTTATGGTTGAATTTCTATGAATTTTAGAAGTTTTGGGCATTTTCTGGAATTTCTTGAATTATTTTTAATTCAGAAAATGATTTACTGCGCCAGCCTGACGTCAGTGTGACGTCAGCAGGTCAGCGGAACCGTTCCTGGTCAAATCTGACCAGTGGGTCCCGCATGTCAGTGTCCTAACTAAGTAACAATGTTAATTAGCACTAAGTAAGAACTAATCTAGGGTTAGTCAGAGGCTGGCCCCACATGTCGGTGACTTACGGTGAATCAAACAGGGTCAACTCGGGTCAAACTCGCCGGAGTTGACCCGCGGCTCATCGCCGGCGACGCCAGAGACGACGGAGGGCATCGAAAACGCTCCTCCGGCAACCAAATCGATGGCTGAGAGGTTCTACACGATGCTGAAGCTCGGCCACGTCTTGTGGTGCACGCAGCAGCAGCTCAGGTGACCTAAATCGACAACGGCGACAACTTGCACGGCGGCCGGAGTTCGGGAGCGGACAGTGTCGATGCTATGGTGCACTAGAGGAGATACCGAAGAGTGATACGTGCTCCTGGGAGTGTGTTGAGCGCGCTGATGGGCTCGGACACGAGCGACAACAACTGTGGTCGCGACGGCGCCATGGCCGGCGGCGAGGAGTGCTCGGTAAGGTGGTTAGAGAGGTTAGGGGAGGCAAACGAGCACGGGTTAGGGGGAGAAGGATCGTGGCCTCACCGCGGTTGCAGGGGTCATCGAAGCGGGCTCGGGGAAGGCTTGATGGCATCGGAATCCCGGCGGCTATCTCCTGTGGCCGAGGAAGAAGATGAGGTCGAGGACAACATTGCAGAGCTCCCACGGTCGAACGGGTTGGCGTAGACGATGCAGGAGTCGACGGCAGTTCTTCTGGGCGCATCGACAAGGCAAGGGGTGGACGGTGGCCGTGGCTACGGCGAGCGGCGGCGACGGCTGCGCTCGGGCGCGAGAGGGAGAGAGAGTAGAGGAGGGGAGAAGCACGGGAGAGAGTGAGAGCGGTCCAGGGAGGGTGCGTGGCGACGCGGGAGAGATCTAGGGCGAGCAGGCAAGCAAGAGGTAGCCGGCGCGTGCGCGCGCGCGTCGGGCACACGCCCTCCTGCCTACTGGCAGGAGGTTGAAGACGGTGGCGGCTGCGGTGGGCTGGGCCAGCACAGGAGCTGGGCCGGTTGGTGGGCGCCAGGTTAGTCCTTCTCTCTCTCTCTCTTTTATTTTTCTTTTCTATTTCTGTTATGTTGTTTTGATTTAGTTTGAAAGCTAAACCATTTTAAACCTTTCTGTAAATTTTTATGTGAGCTCAGAGAGCTAGTCCAAGGTCACATGCAAACTTACAAAATATTTGAACATTATTTCTTATATAGCAGAAATAATTCCAACCCAATATATATTGTTGATTTAAATCAAAGACCCAAAATAAATTATTTCTCTTACTTCAAAAATATTGGTTTGAATTTTACCTCATGCCAATATTTTCACAGAATAACAGGAACATTTTCTTGGACTCATTTGATGAGATTTAAATGTTGATTATTTTTAGAGGTTTTCTGAGGCTTTTGAAAATTCCTCAATTTTTGAATTTAAACATGATGCCCACATGAAGGCTAGCATAGGTCAGACCAGAATTAGGAATGTGACAACGAACTTGCCAATGGTCGGCTCCAGTGCTGGCACGTCTTCTCTTGGTCAAAGATGTCCGTCGCCAGCCTGCCAAAAGCTCTGGTCGGCACCAGTGGCCCATGGGTTTTCAGATATTTGACGCCACCTTCCATTTACCTGCAAGAGATAGTCATCGTACTGATTCCTACATCCGTCTCCGGAAATTTAGCAAATGGGCCGACCCGGGAATTGATTTCAAGTCAGTGTGTCGCTCCCTCGGGGTCGCTTTTCGCTCGGTTTAAATTCCGGTTTTGTTAAAAAAAAATGTCTTTCTTCCTTTTCATATTTTCTGGGTTTTCAGTTTTTCTGTGTTTCTTCGCCATTTTACTCTAGTCTTTTTTGATTCCTTTGGTGTAATTTTGGTTTTTATTTTTATCTTCTTCTTCTTTTGGGCGTGAAAAATTGTACTTATGGCGTGAAAAACAACCCCAAAACGTCCACTGCAGCTGACGCCCACTGCAGCACGCTAGTGGGCCGGCACATCAAACACGCAGGGCAGTGAAAAATTGTACTTATGGCGTGAAAAACAACCCCAAAACGTCACTCTCTTGAGGAATCGAACCTGCGGAAGTTAGCTTCGGTGCATAGCTGGAACATTTAAACCCGGAACATTTATGAATTAACTTACCCGCGCTATTTAGAAAAATGGGATTTCTTCTGAAAAGAAATGTGAACAAAATTTGAATGTTCACAGATTTTAAAACCATCACAATTTAGGATAAAAATTCATTTACTAAAAACGTTCATTAAAATTGAAAAGGTTCATCAATTTTAAAAAAAGTTTAAAATTGTGAAAAAACAAATTCATCGACTCTGAAAAAATGTTCACATATTTTGAAGAAATGTTCATCGACTTGAAAAAAGTTCATGGATTTCAAAACAAAATTAATAATTAAAAAAAGTTCACTGTTTTTGCATCGATTTTGAAAATAAGTTCAAAATTTTAGAAAAAAGTTCATCAATTTTGAAAAAATGTCATGATTTTGAAAAAAATCACGAATTTGAAAAAGAAAATCATTGATTTTGAAAATAGTTCATCAAATTTGAAAAAGATTGCCAATTTTGAAAAAAGTTCATTGAATTTCAAAATATTCATCGAATTTGAAAAAAAGTTCGCACAACATAAAAAAGGTTCATCGTTATTTTAAAAAGAAATTTAAAGAAAAGGGAAAGGAGAAGGAAAAGAACGAAACAAAAATATGAAGAAAAATAAAAATAAAAAATTCCGCGAACTGAATAAAGAATAAGAGGCGGAAAATGCAGTAACTAGTCAGAAGGGATGATGTAGTCGAAGTGGTTACGGTCCTTCCCCACGACAGAAGCGGTCTCATGCCTGCAATCGATTGGGTGATCTACAGAAGGCGCCAAATAAGATTCCGCCCTGCAAGGAACACACAGTCGCGCCCCCATTTTCCTACTTGCAGATCACCCAATCACTTTGTACTATAGCTAGGCCCAAGCACATGAATCACTTAGTGTCGCTGATGCTACGAGTAGGGTTCCTTGGAGAACTGCAGTTGCCACAAGAGAAATTTTGGTCCCCTCGCGTCAAACCGCCATTTTTGGCGCTGAGTGGTGATGGGACCTTAGATCTTCAAGAGTATTACGTTCTTCGTCACTGTCTAGTGGTGATCGTAGCTTCTAAGAATAAAATTACACTCGTTCTTTTTTGATGGTGCCATGAAGTCAGAGAGTTTTGTGTCCTCGCGGATTCTATTATATGAGTTTATGCTAGAGTGCCAAACTTTTTTTGTTTATTTGATTCTTTCTGGAGATGAAATCTTTTACCGACACCATGATGAAGATATTGTGATTCGACCACCTGCACTTCTATGGGATCATCGCCCACCAAAGTAAGATCATCGCTCAATGATTTCCATGGTTTTAGATAGGCAACTCAACGGGCTATCAGCAACCTTTGTCGTCGTGGTCTAATTGTATCCTCTACACTGAAATTTTAGGAGTATTTGCAGAGATTGACACCATAAAGAATGTGTTTCCAAGAGATCTTATCGTAATTATTAGTCATATGAGTTACTTTGTATTTTCTGGGAGCTTGGATCTTTTTTCTTCGAATCAAGAGCTTATATTACTCAAATAGGTGTTCTACAATGAATCTGAATACAACCAGCTAGGAAAGTAGACATATAATTTATCCTCCTCTCATCTATGGCCAGCTTAGCACAACTATGGGTCGCTTCATTAGCTTCCCTACGCACAAAACAAGCTCACAAATAGTAAACCCACCCTTCCCTCAAAAAAAAAAAAACTAGTAAACCCACCCACCCAGAAGTTAAAAACTACTCCCTCCGTTCCTAAATATTTGTCTTTCTAGACATTTTAAATGACTACTATATATGGATGTATGTAGACATATTTTAGAGTGTAGATTCACTCATTTTGCTTCGTATGTAGTCACTTGTTGAAATGCCTAGAAAGACAAGTATTTAGGAACGGAGGGAGTACTAGTAAACCCACCCACCCAGAAAAACTAGTACTAACCCCGTGGCAAACGGCTGCGACAGCCGTTCTATCTGAAGATTCAGAGTTGCACATCTTAACCGCATAGTTAGCATCACTTTCAGTGCAAATCCTTGTGCATACCAGATCTCTGGCAAGTTGAATTCCGTCACGAATGGCATACATCTCCATGGCTTGAGCATACCAAACTGCCTGCGCCTATACAAGCTTTCCGTCAGAGCCTCCAACCACAGGTCCTGTGCTGAAGCGTGAACATATTGATTTTCAGGCTTTCCCTTGTCCGGTGCTCGCCAGCGAGCAGTCTCCATTATACTTATAACACTATACATCTGTACATTCGCAAGAAAGGAAACCACCTTACAAGTGATTGATTACATGACAGCACCACCGTCGTCATGGTCATGGTGAGCCACCCTCTTCTTGTACACATAGACGCGCGAGACAACCACGAACGCGGCCAGCTCCGCCGCGCAGAGCCCGGCGAGCAGCCAGTAGAAGTAGTCGAGGTGCGCGCGGTTGAGGTTGTTGGAGAACCAGCTGGCGCCGCTCTTCTTGGTGGCGCCGTCGATGGCGGAGATGAGGAAGCTGCTCAGGAAGTGGCCCACCCCGAAGATGCTGAGGAAGAAGGCCAGCCCCAGGCTGCGCAGCGCGTCGGGGACCTGGTCGTAGAAGAACTCCTGCAGCCCGATCATGGCGAACACGTCCGACAGCCCGAACAGCACGTACTGCGTCACCATCCACCACAGGCTCATCGGCAGCGCCACCTTGGGGTCGTCCACGAGGCCGGCGTCCCTCGCCACGCCCAGCCGCCTCGCCTCCACCAGCGCCGCCACCACCATGGCCACCAGCGCCAGGACCAGCCCCGTGCCGATCCTCTGCAGCATGGTGATGCCCGAGGACAGGCGCGTGAACCGCCGCGCCGCTGGCACGAACAGCCGGTCGTAGACTGGGATGAAGGTGATGATGGTCAGGCTGATGAACGTCTGCAGCGCCGCCGGCGGCACGCGGAAGGTGGCGCCGATCCGCCGGTCCAGCGTCGCGGCCTGCTTCGTGAAGAAGGTCGACGACTGGGAGAAGATGACGGCGTAGATGATGCACGTCGCCCAGATGGGGAACAGCCGCAGCAGGCCCCGAACTTCCTCCCGGTGCTCCGCGTTGAACTCACCATCCTCGCCCGCAAGAGTACTGCTTGTTAAAACAACAGATCAACCACATTCAGAGTTAGCACTGTATGTAAGCCTGACAAGATCATACATTCAGAAATCTCATGGCCAGATTGCAGATTTCAAACGAGAAATGATGGATGATGAGTGGGCATACTTGGCGCATTGGCTGGATTTGGAGCCTTTGAGGAGCGCGACGAAGGCCCTGGCGAGGCGCGCGAAGGGGCTGGACTGGGTGGAGGTGTAGTAGCGGTAGCGGCGGGTGCCGAGCAGGAACATGGCGAGCGCGAAGACCATGACGAGGCAGGGGATGCCGAAGCCGAGGCCCCAGCCGATGTTGTCCTGGATATAGCTGGAGACCATGGTAGTGGCGGCGGTGCCGGAGCACATGCCGAAGTACCACCAGTTGAAGAAGGAGCTCCGGGAGACGGACTCCTCGGGGTGGTGCTGGTCGAACTGGTCGGCGCCGAACGCCTGCGCGCAGGGCTTGTGCCCGGCCTCCGCCAGCGCCACCAGGTAGAGCGAGACGTAGAAGATGGTCACCTGCACCGGCGACGGCGAGCACGCGCCCGAGAGCGAGGTGAAGCTGGTGCACCCGTCCGAGTGGAACACCGGCAGCGCCGAGGACAGGGTCAGCATGCCCATGCTCTGCAATGGCAACCCGGCTGTCAGTGGTCAGCTGGACGCACTTTTCTGTCAGTGGAAGTGCGCGAGCTTGATTGGGGGAGGGCAGACAGAAAGGGGTTCGTTCATGAAGCACTTTTTTTGTCAAAAGGGGGGATTTTTACGGGAGGGGAAAAGTGGGCTGACCACGACGAAGAGGACGGAGGCGAGCACGATGGTGCGGAACCTCCCGAGCCAGGCGTCGGCGACGCAGGCCACCAGCAGCGGCAGCATCGTGGCCACGCCGCTCCACGCGTTGATCGCCGCGGCGGCGCCGGCCGTGGACTCCCCCAGCGGCCCCGTCAGGTAGCTGATGAGGTTGGCCGACACCCCGTGGTACGCGAAGCGCTCCGCGATCTCCACACCTTCAATCCAAGCAACAAACAACCCAAATCAGATCAACCCTCGGCTTTCACCAGATCATCATCCTTGGCCTACTGTGCGCCGGGGGGGCGTACTTACCGAGGACGAACATGGCGGCGGACCATCGGCCGGTGGAGGCGCGCGGGGCGGGGCCGCCGCGGAAGTCCACGACGCCGGGGACGGCGCCGTCGATCCGGGGCAGGAGGAGGGCGCGGGTGGCGTCCATTCTTGTTCAGTTGGGTCTGGTCACGTTGCGTGTGCGTGCCGGCGAACTGAACTGGAAGGGGCTGCAGAAATGCGACGGGGGGCCTGGCGGGCATCATATACCGTGGCGGCCGTGGTACAGTACGGGATCGGAGCAGCGCGCAAGGCGCCGCACGGGCTCGGACAAGGAGGTACAGCACACCAAGTCACCAACCAAGCCCTTCGCTTTTCGCAAACAAAATACGCTCTTTTCTCTCTGGGAATCTTCTGCTAATCTGCTTAGTAGTACTAGTAAGCATGCACGTGCAACGCACGTCTCAAACGTAAATCAGGTGAGATTCACATAATATAAAATATAAATGTTTTAAAAAATATAATTCAAATGGATATACAATGTTTGATATTGCTCAAATTGTATTTTCAAAAGTGAGACACAATAGTGGTTATGTTGCTGCATAGAGTAATCGCAGAAAAATATTCTCATTTAAATAAAATCAGCAATTATTTATTAATGCAGTGATATAGGCTTGTAGTGTAGTCTTCTCTTCTAGTATAGGCAGGAAAAAAAAGTAATTGAAATGTAAAAGATGATATGTGACATGAAGCCGACATGAACATGAGAAGTAATCATGAGAAATAGAGACTCTGCATCTTAACTTCTTCAGTATCCTTCTTGATCCTACTTTATAAGACAAGATCGCTACATTCTTATGTGCATGCCATATCTAATTACACATTTTCAGTACAGCAATCGGCAACCTAAGATAATCCCAAATCTATAATTCTAGATTGCTTGAAGCACCACGATTCTTATTTAATATGTAATGCACGTGCACTCACTTTATGAGAGATGGTGAATTCAAATTTCTCAACCAGCCAAACTTATGCATGTAGTCAAATTTTAATCTTGGTCTAAATAGGAATAGCACTGTAAGTATACAGGTCTAAACAAACACACTCTTACAATCAGTCCCATTCTTCCTATATCTATTCCCTTTGTTCCAAAATATAAGTCCTTTTAGAGATTCCAATACGGACTATATACGGATGTATATAGACATATTTTAAAATGTAGATTCACTCATTTTACACCATATGTAGTCCACATTGAAATCTTTCAAAAAACTTATATTTTGAAACGAAGGGAGTATATATGAGAATGATTTTCATGCTCCAGATCACATTTATTTCTCAAAGGAATTATCAAATGATTAATTAAACTCTAGAATAGCAATTTCTTCATGTCCCAATTTTTTTATTTCTAGAATGCATCAGAGGAAGATTGGTTGATAGATGAAATTGTAGATAAAAAATTTCTGACCCACCTCCAAGTGCCAAAAGTGCAGTATTAGTCGTGCAAATTGCGGAATACCCCCAACTCGAATTAAAGGTTCACCTGATTGATTTGTGATAGACCTTCGGTGCCCTCGACTATGCACGTGCGGCCCAATAGGATGCAGGAGGTCCTCGACGGCCCAGTAGGACGACGACAGGAACGGCAATGACGGCACCTCCTGCGCCATGACCGAGACCGGTGCCGCCCTAAGGACGACGGCAGTTGGCGGCTTGGACTTGGAGGACGTCAGTGGTGGGTGGTTTGTCAGCGTGGGTGTTGCGAACGGAGCTGAAGTCGACGCGGATGCCGATGGTTGCCGTAGAGCATGCCCTGGACGTGGATGGAGTCGTCGCAGTAGCGGCAGAAGAGCGCCTGGCCTCCAGGCAGAAGACGACGTTCCTAGAGGAAGACGAAGCTCCTCGCGCTTCCCCCATCGTGGCTAGCGTGCATGATGGCGGCAGGCGGCTCGCGATTAGCTTCATAATAGGATGGATACGTCCGAGATAAGTTTTTTAATAGGATGGATTTGTCTGAGATTAGTTTCCTAATAGGATGGATGCACTCTGATTTAGTTTCTTAGAATAGGATGCTCCCGTGATTATTAGTTTCCTAATTGCTCAGGCGTGGAGTTTCATATTTTCCTCCACGGTGGAGTACGGTCAGTCAATGTAAATTGCTAAGTGCACACAGAAAATGGTTTAGGTTAAGGCTAACCGTTAGATTGATTTTAGTGGGCCTAATCGTGCGGTTGTATTGGATCTATGCACGCTTTGTGGGGTGTGCTTAAAGAAGTTCTTGTTTGATTGTTTAATAGTAGTATAGACTACTAATACTTCTTTTTTTTTGTAAACGAACTGTGCGACTTTACACGGATGTTACGCATCACATTGTAAACTGATAATAATACTGTCCATCCTATCCTTTCCAGCAGAAAAAAAAAGTGTGCTGATGTCCCCGTGAATGGCGTGCACGGCGACGGCGAACGCGGCCATGGATCATATGATCCTGAATTCGTACACTATGTGATGACGCGAGTGAAGAGGGGTGCGGAGAATCACGCCACCTACCTATCGAATCGGAGCGGGGGATGGGATGGCAGGAGACGCGTATGCGGAGAGGCGACCTGATCTGTTTCTGGAGTTGGCGCGGCCCCGTTTGGCCGGTTGCGTCGCGTGGGGATCCCGGGCCTCCATGGGATCTCTTGCGGGGGATGTCAGCCACCTAGGACTAGTCTAGTACTGTAATAATGTTGTAATGCACTATGACGAATGGAATGCTCCTGCAGCTCTGTTTTTAAAGACCTCTTTGGTTCATATTCCCTCCGTTCCAAAATAGATGACCAAACTTTGTACTAAAATAGATGACCCAACTTTGTACTAAAGACAGTACAAAGTTGGGTCATCTATTTTGAAACGGAGAAACTACTTGATAGGATTTTCATAGAAAAATTAAAAGTTGGAATCTTCAAAAATGTTTTCTTTATCGACCGTTTGATCTTTAGGATCGAATTATGTATGAATGTTTTATGAGGATTTCCTTGCACTGCATATCATAGGAAACGTAGCATGCACTTGGACATATGAAGATAATTATCTTTTCATGCAACCAATGAATCAAATGAAGCAAAATCATTTGTTTGCATGCCATCCAACGTTTTTAGAATCCCACGAATCAAAAGGACCCTAGGTCCTCAAACTTTATGAAGGGTTCACGGGTTGGAGATAAGCGGACTCGAACAGTTGACATCCGCTATAGGTTCTTTACTCTTTTGTATGTGCCTACACAAAAAAATAAGGTCTTTTTATCTTTACAAAGCTATTGGATTTGTTGAGGAGGCGCAACTGCTCTGTTTAAGTCCTCAGAGTTCTCAAGGGGTCCTATACAGTCCCTCTGATGTTTCTTTTTACCGTTGACATTATGACAGTGCTCGGTTTAGCGTGGCGTAAGAAGACGACGATGTGTACTTGAAGATTGATCGATGATGCCTTATGATGACTTGACTATCATGATGATGACGTGCGAAGACGACGTGTCTTGTGCTGAATTGACTATTGATGGAGGTGACTCGAGACGAGAGACAACAAGAGAGGATGGCCATGGTAGTGACGAGCGATGGTAGGAGAGGCGGCGACTCAAGACGCAACTGCGATGGGTGGTCAAGTGGTGGCGGTGAGGCCGAGTGAAGGCAGAATTTAGGGGTTCCTAATGGTTGGGGTAAACTCTGGTGTGGTTTACATGTTCGATGTATATGATGTCCCGGCGACTGAGAGGGGGTTGCATCATGTGATGCAGACAACCATTTATAAAAACGTTCAAGTTAACAAGTACTACCTCCATCCTGGATTATTAGTCTCCATCCTATTTTGAGTTAAAGTTTGATTACATATTTGACTAGCAGAATGTTAATGCATATTACCTAAAATTACGTTGTTGAATTCGCATTTGAATGTACTTTGTAGTGATATTATTTTTCCTACGTATAACACATATTTACTAGTTAAAATCATGGTTAAAATATGATCCAGAATATGAGAAGGCCTAGTAAACCGGGATGGACGTAGTACATGCAGTGATGTACTCCCTCCATTTCTTTTTAGTCTGCATATAAGATTTGGTCAAAGTCAAACTTTACAAAGTTTGACTAACATTATAGAAAAAATATTATCATCTACAATATTAAAGTTATATGTCATGAAAATTAATTTCATCATTCATCTAATAATGTAAATTTCATATCATGAATATTGATATCTTTTCCTACAAAACTAGTCAAACTTTACAAAGTTTGACTTTGATCAATTCTTATATGCGAACTAAAAAGAAACGGAGGGAGTAAATAAAAAGAAAACACGACCACAATCAGACCGATAAAAATAACTAAGTCGTTGGTTGGGACATTCCGGTACGCATGAAAAATTGAAAAAGACAAATGTGCCGAGCCCTTTAGCAATTTTTAGGATCAACTAGCAAAAGAGCCCGTGCGTTACAACGGGACAAAACACACATGCTCTTAACCCAATAACCACGACTTGAGACCTTGATACGTAGACGTTCTTTATTTTAAAATTGCATCACATTTGTGTTCACGACGGTGGTCTCAATGCTCACACAACGAAAACGTATTTGAATGTGGTCAATCCTAAGGCGTCTTTCTCTCTCTCTCTCACACACACACACACACACACACACACACACACACACACACACGCTCGCACGCACACAATCACTGAGAATAAGATGAGAAAAATGTTGTTTTTTCCCGTGAGGTTTTTCAGAGTTGTGCATGTGTGGTTAACAATGTTTTTTTCCCTCTCAATCTGGTGTTAATGTGTGTTTATTTGCAATTTGGATCGCCGCCAGTGCGAAAAAAACCCCAGACCGTGCACTATAGATTATGTTTGCATCCAAATTAATAGTTTAGAAATATTTAATAGCTAAAAGTAACAACATATTTGGATTCTACACATTTTTCTAATCAAATTTTATATATAATATGTTAGAATCGGACTTACGATTTAAAAGATATGGATAATTTTGTTTTAGATAAACCGCGGATTGATTAACCGAAAGGTCAGGGGGTTTTCTGTTAAAACACAAAAAAAGATTCGTATGACTTAAATACGTACGGCGGGTTGATTACCTAAAATCTCAGGGGGGATTCTGATAAAACTAAAAAAACGGTTCGGTATGACTTAAAAATGGACTGCGGGTTGATTTCAATAAACTGCAGGGACTTTTTTGCAAATAAGGATGACGGACGACAGAAACCCACCGTACTTTATT